CGTGCGTGAGCGCCGGGCGCACGGGTACGCGCCGTGTGCACCACCGCGAGCGCGAGCGTAGAGTCTGCGGCGCAACCCGGGAGCACTGCGCATGCGTAACCCCCCGCGCCCGCGCCCCTCCAGATGTCACCTGGAGGCCAGAAGTGCCAAAGCACCAGAACAGCAGAAAATCAAAGGACGGGGCTATAGTTTATGTTTCAACCAGTTTAATGTTTATAAGGAAAGTCTTGCAAGATCTTCTCCGTTAGGCGTTCCCAAGATTCCATCCTAGGATGCTTCCAAGTTGATCATTGCCTAGATCAATGTCAAGAAGTTTTTCCCTGTGTTCTTCTAGTAGTCTTATAGTTTCAGGTTTTATGTTTAAGTCTTTAATCCATTTGGAGTTGATTTTTCTATATAGTGTAAGATCAGGGTCCAATTTCATTGTTGTGCATGTGGATATCCAGTTTTCCCAGCACCATTTATTGAAGAGATTGTCCTTTCCCCATTGTGTGTTCTTGGCAACTTTGTTGAAGATCAATTGACCGTAAATGTATGCATTTATTTCTGGGTTTTCTATTCTGTTCCATTGGTCTATGTGTCCCTTTTTATGCCAGTACCATGCTGTTCTGGTTATTAGATCACACTAAGGACTTTGACTAGGATGGTGTGACTAATGAAAAATGGCGACAAAGTCTTTGACACTCTTCCCATTGATAAGTGGAGTCTAATCTCTTTCCTCTTGAAACTGGGCTGGCCTTAGGGAGTCACTTGTAGTCAATAAAATGCAGTGAAAGTGATACTGGTGACTTCAGAGGCTAGGTCAGAAGCAGTCTTGTAGTTTCTGCTTTGCTCTCTTAAAACGCTCACTCTTCTGGTTTCTTCGCCAATATCTGGAAAATTACCCGATTGCTCCGGGCAGGATACAGGAGCTTGGATCACTCAAGGTCAGGAGTTCGAGACCAGCCTGAGCAAGAGTGAGACCCCCGTCTCTACTAAAAATAGTGAGAAATTAGCCAAACAACTAAAAATAGAAAAATTAGCTGGGCATGGTGGCACGTGCCTGTAGTCCCAGCTACCTGGGAGGCTGAGGCAGAAGGATTGCTTGAGCCCAGGAGTTTGAGGCTGCTGTGAGCTAGGCTGACGGCATGGCACTCTAGCCTGGGCAAGAGAGTGAGACTCTGTCTCAAAAAAAAAAAAAAAAAAAAGACGCATAGGAAGAAGCCCCCTTTCCCGGGCAGCTTGAAGAGGAATAAATGAGTTGATTTGAAAAGGTGTTAAATAAAGAGCATTCACAAAAATATCAAACTTGTGTAAAATGGGTTCTATGTGTTTAATTCTCTGTTAATATAAATTATTATATTTTTGGAAATTTCGACGAAACAAAGAATTCTAGAAATATACCCGGACTTTAGAATTTGTCTCTTTGTGATGTAGAAGTTGCTATTAATACTTCCCCTCCCCCAGTTCTGTGGCTCTGATTGGCTGACTGATGCTCTGCCGTTTCTGTGTTCTTAAAAGGTATGGCTAACTGTAGGGTTTCTATGGCAAATCTGATGAAGATTATGGCACTATCCTTTTCTCTCACCTATGAGAACGACAAAATAAAGCCCAGGATTCTGCTCTATTTCCTACGTACCAAAGAATATGGAAGTCAACCTCATTTACATTCCAAATGCTGCTCTGACATTGCGCAGATAGAAGGACCTCGGCTATGGAAAATCCGGCTCCCCGCTGTGGCTAAGTAAGAGCTCTCAAGGAGAGGAGAGAGACCAGCTTCCCTTTGTGTCCCAGCAGGGATCCGGGTCTGTCTGTAACCGGCTTGGACAAGACCACTGAAACACCATTTTCCTGATAGAAAGTGCTGATAAAAAGAAAACTGGGTAAGAAAAATCACACGTGTATAACATTCAATGTCATCTTCATCTTCTCGTGGCCCGTGATCCTCAGTATTGATCCATGCAATTTGGCGGGA